ACTTCTAATCCTTTGGCTGCACTCTTACTCAGGATCCTAATCATATGTTTATATTTCTGTCTCACTGATGGACTGCAAAGACAGTCATGTTCAATATCTAATGTAGTGGCTTAACCATTTCTTCTAGTATCTGTTGTGGTGGGTTAAACACAGCAGCACTGGACTTACATTCATGTTCCTTGCATTATTTTCCCATATACTAATGCCTACTCAGGTCTCCCCATTGTATTCTTTCACTCAGAAAAGTAAATATTCTTTTACTCTGATTCTGAGTTAATTACTTATTTAATTAACTATTCATTGCATGGTACTTAAAAAACATAGAGAATTGAGATTCAAGCCACCTGAATTTTGTTCTAAGTATGTATGATCAAATATCTTTGAACGCCACTTCCCTTACCTATGAAATAAAGGATTCAGATGAGATAAGTTGCTAATAGCAAATGACTATATATGTACCTACAGCATGCTAGTGCTGTCATAAACACATTATATGCAATATCAACTCTTAAAAACAAACCCATAAAATAGATACTATTATTACATACATCATTTTACGGATGAGGAAAGAGACAAAAAGAGTTTAATTCACTTTCCAGTGGTCACCAGCTAGTAAATGGCAGAGTGGAATACGAACCCAGGCAAGTCCCTTTATGTTATGTAACACTCCGTTACTTCAGGAGTCTGTAGTTTTTTCTTTTGTAATTTCTATTGCTGATTAAATTATAAACTTCTGAATGCAGTGATTGTATTTTATGGTCTTGGTATTTTCACATCAACAAACAAAAGTTTTGAAATTAAAAGGCATTAAGCAAAACATGACAAAGTTGTTAATAAGACATAGTGGAGTAGCTAGGATCCATTGTAAGCCTTAAAGAAATCAGCACCATGATGGAAATTATGTTAGTGAAAACCTGAAATCACTTCAACAAACCTTAAAAACCTGAAAAAAAAGACTGAGAGAGAGAACTGGAAACTCAGATATTCCTAGCTGGGGAAAACATCCTGAAAGGAACTGATTAAGGATATTGGGATTATAAAGAATAGCCACGGGGACTAGTGATTTACTTTCCTTTATCCATGCTAAGTACCAACCAATTCAAGAGCAATCACTGCCTCAGAGACGTACAAACTGAAGTGAATGAATGAGAAAACTTGTACATCAGAGCGATTAGAGCTTTTTCCCCCTACTGAATGGAGTCACACTTGTCCAAAACAAGATGAAGTGCCAAGATAACTTTGCATCCCCAAGTTCACATTACAAGCAGTTTCACACTGTTTGTGATGTATGTCACATTGGTGCACATTGCAAAGTAAATATCTGGAATGTATTGGCCACAGAAATGTAAAAATATCAACTGAACCAATAAGAAAAAGAATGTGAGTGTATAAAAAGCCAGCAGAGGAATGTAGCAGGTGGTAACGAGAGGTCTAACCCAGCTCTGCGCTGTTTTCTCTCCACTGGGCTTTTCAACAGCTATTTCAGCAACTAGGTTTTGAAGCCAGGGGAGAAGGAAATAGAAGCAGAGAAGAATCTCAAGTATGAACAGATTGTCCCTCATTCAATAAACTTTAGTTGTGCCTCAAAATAGCTGTAGAATTTCTGTAGTTTCTGCCCCCTAAAACCTTGTGGAAGGTCCGGCCGAGGGCATTCTTCACTTCATTATTTCTCAGGCTGTAGATGATGGGGTTCAACATGGGAGTCACAACGGTGTAGGATAGTGACAGCACTTTCTTGCTCTCAGGAGAATTATTGGACTTGGGACGGAAGTAGGTGAGGCTTGAAGATACATAGAAAAGGGAGACAACAAGGAGGTGGGAGGAGCAGGTAGAGAAGGCTTTGTGCTTCCCTTTAGCTGACGGAATCTTGAGGATGGCAGCAGCGATGTGAGTGTAGGAACATAGGATGAGCAAGCAGGGAAGCATGATGACCAGAATGGTCCCAACAATGGCATAGACCTCAAAGAGTGCTGTGTCTGCACAGACCAGCCTGAGCACAGGTGGGCTGTCGCAGAAGAAGTGGTTCACCTTGTTGGTGCCACAGAATGGAAAGCTGAAGAGCCATGTGGTCTGCATAGTAGCTATAGGAACACCTGGAAACCAGGAGGCAGCAGCCAGTTTGGCACATGTCCTTGTGCTCATGATGACTGGGTAGTGCAAGGGACTGCAGATGGCTACATAGCGGTCATACGCCATGGTGGCCAGAAGGAAGCATTCAGAAACCCCAAAGAAGAAGACGAAATACATCTGAGTGGCACAGCCGAGGAAGGAGATGGTCGTGTCCTGGGCAATCAGGGTCGCCAGCATCTTGGGCACAATGACTAGGTTGAAGCCAATCTCCAGGAAGGACAAGTTCCTGAGGAAAAAGTACATGGGGCTGTGCAGCACGGGGTCAGCCCAGGTGACCAGAAGGATGAGGCCGTTTCCCATCAGGGTAACCAGGTAGATGATTAAAAATACCAGGAAGAGTAATGACTGTATTTCAGTAGGTAAGGAAGAGAAACTCATCAGGGTAAACTCGCTAACTCTCGTCCAGTTGCCTCCAGCCATAGAAACAGGAGTGAAACCCCAGCTGCGGTCATGGAGAGAGATTCTCAATAGAAAGAGTCAGATTCTGGATTTGTTTTTCAGATTCATTCTGAGTGTCAGGGAAAGAGACAAAATCAGGATCTCGGTTGCAAAGGAAAGGGCTTCCTGTTGGCTAAGAATAAAGACACAAGGAAGAGTCACCAGAGCCCGAGCTCTGAATGGGCAATGGCTCATCCTTCCTTACTCTTATTCTTTATCATCCATTTTCCACTTTGTGATCGGATTTGCTAAAACAAATTGGATCATATCCACACACACCCATCTTCTGCTGCATACTTAATACCTTTGTTGTGGGGTTAAATGAGATAGGTCCTGAGGCAATAAAGTGGAGTCAGATGGAAAAACAGTAGATAATTTCCATTTAATCCTGTTATATATTCCCCTTTGGCAGAGATTCATGGTGTTCATCTTCTCCATCTACTGCCAAAAATAGTACTTACTTTTTTGTATGCAAGTAGGGACTGCAGTCCTAATACAATTTGAGAGGATACATAATGGAAGAAGTCAATTGTTTTATCATGCTTCATTTTGAAGTGACTTGAAGTAGGAAAAAAGTGGCAAGGGGATGGATAGGAGGATGTGTACAGAATGTAGTAGTTTTAATTCACCTTTCCCCCTCAATGTCAGAACTGCAGAGTACTTCAGATCTTATAATACTTGTTCCTTCTTGTCTGACCTGTTTATGAGGTAACAACCTTAGGAGCTTTATTTTTCAGTCCAGCAAAGCTATAATTAAAAATTGGTGGTCAGGACTCAATGTATTCACTGGCTTTCAAAATTAAGATCTAAGAGGAGTATTACACAACTAAGCAGATAGTGAGTGTGCCTCAGGAGATTCCAAATACTTCTCTTTCAAGAGTGGACAAATGGAAGAAGAAAAAAAAAAGAAATGAATTACCACAAGAGTTCTATGAAAAATATGAGAAACATTAGAGTGAATATTCAAAGGAAAACAATTATGAATAAACAATTAACATGTACTATATTAAAGACAGAATTTTAAGTAATAAGAAAAAATTTAATATTTATTCCACTTCTGTTGAGGCACTAGCGATGTGATGGTTGATTCCTCCGTGAAGCTTAAAATTTAATGGAGGAGATATATAAATAATCAATTCTATTAAAATCACAATGAAGATCTTGATACAGTAAATACATAGTAGCTTGGTGGAGGGAATGTACAACGGGTAGGGACACCTAATGATGTCACCTAAGATGTGCAGAACATGTAGGGTGCACATTATTATGAAAATATTATAAAACTGAAATTACATTACAAAACATAAAGTATAGGAAAAAATTTAAATTACTGAGCTAACTCTTTTTGAACTGAGCATTCCTTAACACACACACAAGAATAGAAATACACACATACCAATATGTTTTGATCTTTGTGTTATTTTTTTTTAATTTTGAGGGTAGGGAAAATCTTTAAGCATTCAGACAGGAAACAAATAAAACTAAAGAAGCAAAACCACACGTTACAATCAAAAGAACTTCCCAGCTGCCTACAAAAAACCCCAAGAATTTTATCTTACCCCACTCAAAAAACTAATTCTAAATGGATTAAAGACTTAAATATAAAACCTGAAACTATAAAACTTCTAGAAGAAAATGTAAGGGAAAAGCTTCTTCACATCGGTCTTGGCAGTGATTTTTTTGGATATGATACTGAAAGCACAAGCCAAAAAAACTAAAAATAAACAAGTGGACTCCATTAAACTGAAAAGCTTCTGCACAGCAAAGGAAACAATCAACAAAATGAATAGGCAACCTACCAAATGGGAAAATATGTTTGCAAACTGTATATCTGATAAAGGGTTAATATCCAAACTATATGAGAAATTCATACAGCTCAGTAGGAAAATAATAATAGAAGTAAAAATGAAAAAAATCTGATTGAAAAATGAACAGAAGGCCTTAATAGACATTTTTCTAAAGATGGCATACAAATGGCCAACAGATACACACAAAGGTGCTCAATGTCACTAGTCAACAGGGAAATGCACATCAAAACTCCAGTGAGATCTCACCTTAAAGAGGTTCAAATGGCTATCATCAAAAAGACAAAGATTATATAAAATAGATAAACAGGTTTATACTGTATAGCACAGGTATATTCGACATCTTGTAGTAACCTATAGTGAAAAAGAATATATGTATGTATATGGATGACTGAAACATCATTCTGTACCAGAAGCTGATGCAACATTGTAAACTGACTATACTTCAAAAACAAAAACAAAAATATTGCTTTATAGTTAACAGAAAAGAAAAAAATCACATACAACATGAAATACTAAAAAAAAAAAGATAAGCGATAACAAGTGTTGGGGAAGATGTGGAGAAAGGAGAACTTTTGTGCACAGTTGAGGGGAATATAAATTGGTATAGCCATTATGGAAAAATAGTGTGGAGGTTCCTCAAAAATTTAAAATAAAATTACCATATGATCCAGTAATTCCACTTCTGGGTATATATACAGAGAGAATGAAGTCACTATCTCAGAGATATCTGCACTCCCCATGTTCATGGCAGCATTATTCACAATAGCTAAGATATGGAAACAACTTAAGTGTCTACAGATGAATGGATAAAGAAAATGGGGGAGATATATATATATGTATATATATATATATGTATTATTATTATATTACATATTATATTATATGTATTATTCAGCCATATAATTATTATTCAGCCATTAAAAAGAAAGAAATCTTGCCATTTTTGACAGACAAAATTAATTGAGCTTGAGGATCTCATGCTAAATGAAATAAGTCAAAGAACAAACAAATACTGTATTTTCTCACTTATATATGGAATCTAAGAAAGCTGAACTCAAAGAAACAGAGAGTAGAATGATGACTGCCAGGGTCTGGGGGCTAGGGGAAAGGGGGAAATGTTGGTCAAGATCTACGAACTTCCAGTAATAGGATGAATAAGTTCTGGGGTTCTAATATACAGCAATGGTGACTATAATTAAACATATTGTATTATATACTTGCTAGTTGCTAAAAGAGAGTAGATCTTAAGTGTTCTCACCATATATGCACACACAAAAGGTAGTTATGTGAGATGATGGATGTGTTAACTAACCTTTTTTTGTGGCAATTATTTTGCAATGTATATGTGTATCAAATCATTACATTGTACACCTCAAACTTACACAATATTAAATGTCAGTTATATCTCAATAAAGTTGGGAGAAAAAACTCATATGCCCAATAGACTTCTGCTGATAACACATATGAAAAAACACAGTAGACTGAGGCTTAAAAAATTTGAGGGGAGAATTAAGACTTTTATTATTATCACATAAAAAAATAATGAAAATAAATTAACTTGGTTTTCAAATCAACTTAGAAAAGAAAACAGACACAGCAAGGAGAAAATACAACTAAAAGCAAAAATAAATTTTAAAATTATAAAATTGATAACTATATTTAAAAGTCAGTCCTTTGATAACTTAAAAAGTGGAGATAAATAGTCGCAGAATCTAATAAAGAAATGTCTGAATAAAACAATAATATGCAATTTTAGGAATAAGAAATGGAAAATATCCTTGGAAACAATGAAATTTTTAAAATTATAAGAATACTATAATAATAATAAATGTGTGCTACTTAAAACAAATTGATAGTTTTCTAGTAATGTGTGAGGTTCATCTTGATTTTAAAAGATAAAATATGATGGATGAACCTGGGGAGACATTCTGCTAAATGAAATAAGCCAGACACAGAAGGACAAATGCTGCATGATTCCACTCATACAAGGTACATAAAATAGTCAAACTCAGAAATGGGGAGCAGTATGGTGATATCAAGGGGCTAGGGGGGAGTCAGGGGGTGGGAGGGAGAAACAAGGACTTGCTGTTTGAAGGGTACAAAATTTCAGTTTTGCATGGTGAATAACTTTTAAAAATCTGCTGCACAACATTGTGCCTGCAGTTAACAAGCTGTATTGTGTACTCAAACATTCGTTAAGGATTCTCACGCTAAGTGGTCTTACACAACAAAAAAATTGATTTAAAAAAAGACATTGGAGAAAGAAACCAAAAATTATGCAACGAATATAATCATACATTTAAAATCATAATAGCTATAAAATATGGGGAAATGTTCAAAGTAACCAGAAAATGAATGCAAATTAAAAATAAGATTTTTTAAAAATTGTAGTCCTCAGTTATTATAAAAGTTAAGGGAAATAAACAGGATAGGTCAAAATGATAAGTTGATTTCACAATGTATATCAAAGACACTTCGAACTAGCAGCACTGTATTTACAATTTTTACATTGTTTGGATGCAAACTGTATTTTACTTGAATGCTTTTCTCAGCTTTATTTAAGATAATGTAGATGTAAACAAATGAACAAAAGAACAAAAATAGCAAATTGTTTAAATAAATTGTATTATAGTTCCACTATGAAATTCTGTGCCATAATTTAGAATTATGCTAGAAAAGAACATTTAATAGCACAGTGAGATATTCAACATATTTATCTAAGTGGATGGAGTATGCTCAATAGTATGTTCAATGCCAAGATCTTCATTTTAAAATATGAAATTATATCCATACATGGAAAACTACTATTGTATTATTTAAATGTTAAAATCTCAGTGCTGTGATTATAAGTGTTTTAAAATTGTCCTGTGTTTTACCTGTTCTACGTTATTCACCTTAATGTGTTCTCTGTATTCAGATAAACAAACATTCTATTAAGAATAAAATAATTATGCAAATCAAAACAGCTTATAAAATTTTAAATATAAATGAAAACTTGGAATAATTTTGTAGTAATTCAACAAATAATAAAAAGTGTTTGCCTAATTGACTTGTAAAGAGGGCCCATGAATCATTAAGAACAAGCATTGTATCTCTCCCCAACCCAGAAAACAGAGGGCACCAAGATTCAATTTATCAAAAGTACCATAAAGGAATATACATATAAAATTACTCAATTTTCCTAGCAGTCAAAAAAGAAGTAAAAATCAGA